ACTGACTACTACTTTTCCTCAGACCCTATTCTCTCGAGCCTACTTGGAGAAAACAGGCAGAGAATCAGCAAGTCCCAGGCCTGCTAACACTAGCTCAGGCATGTGGTGGTCGGGTCCCCTCCTCTGCCTGCTGCTGGACTGAGGCATTGTACACTGGCCCGGCCCAAGTCCTCAGGAAGTTGAGCCAGGTACCTCCCCTTCCTACGGCTAGCTGCTCCCACCTGCAGCAGATGGGCACCCCCAAATGTATCGCAGCCTCTCAGGGATGTGCTGGGGGCCTGGCCAATCACCAGACACGCCATGGTGCTTCGAGACACCACCATGCCCCAGGACACTGCAGGGCATGCATGCCCCACCACACCCTCCCTGCACCCACACCCAGGTGCCCGTAAGGGGCAGACTTGGCAGCTATCATGGGATGGGAGGTAGGGAAGAGGAGGCAGGTGGGGGCTGGGGTGCCAGGGAATGGGGAACAGGCAGCAAGAACCTGTCCTGGAGAGGTGAGAGGGCAGCGGGAGGCAGGATCACTCGTGAGCCAGGGCTCCATGCCTCCAGTGCATGTGCCAGTGTCCCATCCAACTGTCACATGCAAAACTCAAACTCGCAGGATTCCAACATGGCGACTGCAGAGCATGAAACCCGAGCGCAGGTCCCCCTCTGAGCACGGAGTCGCACATCCATAGAGCCGGCCCTGCTGTGTGTGTTTTGTGTATCAGGGGTGCAGGACTTGCAAGCTTGAAGCCTACTGAGCGTGGCAGTTCTTCATCAGGCCCTCTGTAGTGTTAAAGGGTATGATGCTGACTTATGCTCACTTGGGAAGAAACCGCTCTACTCCTGTGTTCTCAGTGTCACCAGAAGACGAAAGAAGGAAAGGAGGGAGAATGTGCCTGAGATAAGCCCAGTCTCTTTTTAGGTGACTCCCGTTTAACCGGAGAGCAACTTCATGCCTTATGCTAGTCAGACCATTCCTAGGGGATACTCCCCCACGAGGCACACCCCAAAGTCCTGGGGGGTCCTTCTCTGCCTCCTTCCAACATCCCTGAGTCTGCTTTTTTGGTCCCTTCTGGCCTCTTGAGGATCCCCCCGGGATAAAATCCTCCGATATTTGCATGTAAAACTGGCACTGCACAATACAAACATAAAGAGTGAAGGTCATACTAATCGTTTAATATTTAAATTTTCCTTTTAGAACCATATAGAAAAGCAAACTGAAAACACCATGACAAGTCAAAAGAGAGAGGCCACCGTAGAAAGGGAAAAGTTTCATATTTTAGTTCCTTTAACAAACACATTTTGGTGTGCTTTTTGAATAAGAGGCTTCATGTTAGTATTTTGCACCAGGCCCAGAAAATTAGGTTGTCAGTCCTGAAGTAAATTGACCAACTGACCAATAAAATCCTAAAAATTGAAACAAAACCAAACACTGGAAGCCACTGTCACTGGGAAGCCAGCTGCACTGCGTCTTAGTTGTGTGGCTGACTGACCTCAGGACCTCTTTCTCTTATCCATGATGAGAGGATAAAAACAGTACCTGCCTCCTATGGGTGTTGTGGGGATTAAACGAGACAGTACTCCTGAAACACCTGGAAGACTGTCTCGTGCTTAGCAATCTTCCGAGTAGAGGTCGTGCATTTATTACCATCACCTGTGTCCCTCCCAACATGTTTTAGTCCCGACTCCACCTTGCAGGGCAGGTGCTCATCTCCCACTGGGCACATGAGGGGTGACGTTCAGGAACGCGGTGTGATCCACCCGAGCTACCCACCCACAGGCAGCCGGGCCTGGTTGCAGAGCAGACTGCCTGGCTCCAAAGCCCCACTCCCGGCTCCATACCCCACAACTCAGAGCTCCTCTTCCTTCCACCAGTTGAAAGAAAAAGAAAAAAAAAAAGATATCCACTCCGACCACATCATTTGGCAAGATTTTAACCACACATATATGTGATATTCATGCACTTGAAATGGCTACACACCAAATGCCCAGCACAAAGCATCACAGGGCTGGATACCAATATTTTGGCAGGTGCTAACGTGCCCTGTTTCTTTTCGTGAAGGAAGGGCAGCATTCAGTAGTGAATTGATGGGGTCAGAACTCACCTTCCTTTCAGTATGATGTTCTAAGCTCTTCCAGGTCAGGGGCAGCGCTGGGTAAATCAGGTATCCCCCGGTCCCATTCCCAACCCCTCAAATCAGTATTGAGTCCCTGGAGTTCGGGGCTATGGCTGGCAGCCACGGTGTGCAGGTGAAGCACAACAAGCCCACAGACCTGGAGCTACCAGGTGTGCACATCCGCCTGCAGCTTTGCCACCCAGGTGCTGCAGGGCTGGGCAGTGTAGCACAGTGGGGAGACTCGGGGTGGAGATGACTGCATTTCAGCCTCCTCTGCAGGTCACTGCCCATGAGGGCCCCGAGTCACTGCTTACCCCTGCATGCATAGGTGGGGTTCTTCCATGCAAAGGCCTGGCAGCTTTCACACTGCTTCAGAGTCCACACACCTGGCTGGAGGTGAGGCCGGCCTTCTCTCACCCTTAAAAAGAGGCCTGCAGTTCTGCAAGGAAGATGGGAACAGGAGCCTGCTTCAGAAGCAGCCTTCTGTGTGGGCTCTCTTGTGGGCCTCAAAGATGGGGTGACCCTGACAGAATGGGCCCTTCTAAGACGTCCTCTAGACCTTCACAGACAAATTAATAAATACCACATGCAATGCCATGAATTGGCAGCAAACTGATTCCTCCACCGTGCTTCTAATTATTATTGTTTTAAAGGCAGGCGGTGGGGGATGGTCATGCGTGGGGTTTTATAAGGAAAGGATGTTTCTGTCTTTTCAGATCTTAAGAAAGCTTAATCCCTGCAATTTGGATAAATCAGATAGGCATTATCAGGTTAGGGTTAAACCTCCCAGAGTGGCTTTGCAATTGATTACAAACACGGCAGTTATCAAGCCTGAGTAATTTGCAACTTGTTTCACCCCCAGCTAATTAAAATGTAATCGGGATTGTCTGGCAATGTGCATTCTGTCAGCAGTTTTTCTTCGGGAAGAGAAATCATGCCAGAGACCACAAGAAAAGCCTTTCACGGGGATTGGCTTGATCTAAACTGCTTCTTTAGCCGCTGAAACTGTAAAACAAATAAATTACAGCAACCGACAATTCAATAAAAAAGAAAAGGGGAAAAAATGATATTCTTCCTCCCCAGAACGGACTGTACTGTTTTGTTTTGTTTTGTTTTCTGTTGTTCAAACAATAGTGTAGCATCTTCTCAGGAGAGTGGCTTTCAGGGCAGGACGCGGTGGTTTTGATGCCAGGTGCCTGGGAGCCGGCCGCCTCTGGGTCTCTCTCCAGGTTGTCCAGGTGATTTCACCGCAGGCGGTGAGCGCTCAGGGTTTTCCTGTCCCTGAAGTCCCAGGAGGACGCGCAGAGCTTGTCGGTTCTGAAACCAAGGAACCTGCAGCCTTGGGGCCACGTGTGGGCTTCTGGATCCTTGAGTGCAGCTTTTTGACGGAATCCAAACTTCACAGAATAAAGAGATCTGTTCTCTGAAGTTTGGATTCCGTCGAGGGGCAGCACTCGGGGATCTGAAGTCCCACCCCTGGGACGTTGCTTCTTGGACTTAGGACGAACCAAACTACACACTCCGCACACGCCAAGTGCACCAGCTAGTGCGATCTCTGAAGATCCCAACTTTGAGCTCTGCTGTGCTACTCACTCATTAGCTCACCCGTCAGGAAGAACATGCCCAGGGGCTGCTGAGAATCACCCCAAACTTCACCGTCGCTAACCTCGCCTGCTCGGGCAGCTCAATTCCCCGGGCCCTGGGGAGCCCCCTTTTCCCCCGCCCGGCGGCAGGGGCGCCCAGTTTATCCCCGAGCAGAGGGCTGGGCTCCCAATCCCGGGCCAGCCAGGGGGCCCCGCGTCTCCGTGCACCTCCGCACTTTTCCCTGGGGCGAGAAGTTTGGAATTGAAACAGGTGGGTACCTAAGGATAGAGGCGAGAAGGAGGGAGAGGAGGATGGCAGAGGAGAGAAATAAGTTGCCTAAGTAGATGATCTCAGAGCTAGCGTGCTCGACTGGGCGGGGGAAGGCAGCGGCGGGACCTGCGCGGCTGAGTCCGGGAGCTGCTCCCGCGCGCCCACCGGGACCGGAGTCTCCGTGCAAGTCCCGCGGGGGTCCTCGCCACCCTGCAGGGCCCCAGCCATCCACAGGCGCCAATCGTGCCGCTCCCTGAGCCTCCTACACGCACACACACTCCTCCACCCTCAAGCTGAAAGAACCCACCGTGTTGGGGGAGACCCTGGCACTCGTCCCCGGAGCATCCAAACAGGGCCGCGCTGAATCCCCAACCCCTGCATTTCTTCCCTTACGCTCTGCGCTAGTCCTGAGCAAGACCTTGAATCTTTAGGACTACGAATGAGGCGCGCGCCGCCGCCTCCCCCAACACCCACATACACAAATCCTGGAACACACGACTTGGCCCAAGTGCCCTGGCTGGGGGCTCCAAGGGCGGGCAGTGAGCTCCAGGCCCGCCGAATGTGCAAGCCAGAGCTCAAAGGAGACAAAAGTGTCGCCCTGCCGGCACCCGCCAGCACCTGCGGGGCTGGGGCACGTCGCGCGGGTCCCCGGGCGCAGCCGGGCGCATCTCCCGGCCTCGCTCCCAAGCGCCGGCGGCTCCAAGGGCCCCTGGAGCGCGCGGGAGTTTGCGGGGCTCGCCCGGGCCGGGAGTGTGGCGCGCTCACGTCCTGGGAAACTAACAAACCCCCAGCCCCACCCTCGGCACCCACAAAACTGCTCTCCCTCCCAGAGGAAATCGCCTGTCGTTTTCCGCTGGGAAGGAGCGAGCTGGGGAAGATGCTGAGGCTTCTCGTCGCTCGGCGAGCCGGGAGGAGGCTGGAAAGGGTTGGAGCGCCCCGACTGTAAAACCCACGCCGAGGGAACGCCGGGATCCGCCCGTTGAGCTGGGCGAGAACTTCGGGCGCCGCGGCGCGGGAGAGGACGGGGCGGGCGGGCGCCCCGCGTACCTGGAAGTGCTGGAAGAAGGCGGAGATGCGCGTGATCTGCAGGCTCAGGCACCTGGAGGCGCAGCGGGCGCGCTGGACGCTCCCGGCAGACAGCGACTCGTCCAGCCGCCGCGCCGCAGCCGCGCCGGGGCCGGCGGCCAGGCAGCCCGCGGAGGCCGCCAGCCACAGGCACAGGGTCAGGGCCGCGCCGGGCGCCCGGGGCACCATGGCTGCGGGTCGCGGGCGCGGGCGCCGGGCGCTGGCCGAGGCTCCCAGCTCCGCGCCGGGGCCGCACTGCTGGGGACCTCGCGGCCGCGGCAACTCCGCCGGAAAGTTCAATCATTCAACTCCGGCGGCAGCCCGCCCGGCCGACCTCCCTCCCCGCTCTCCCCCGAGGGGGTGGAGTGAGGGTGACAGGAGGCCGCGCCATTGGCTGGGAGCAGCGTGAGTGACAGGGGGGCCGGGCGCAGGGCCAGGGGGCAGGTCCGCCCCGGCGCTCCGGGGAGGGCGACGCCGAGCGGTGCCCGGCGCTGCGCGGGTCTCCGGAGGGTAGGACTCCCGGGCGGGCGCCTCCGCGGTCCTCACCAACACCTTGCCGCCCCTGCAGCCCTCCCCTCCGTCCAGGTGGGCGTCAGGTGTGAGCAGGCCCAGGCCAGGGTGGAGAGGTGCTCTCTCGGGAAGAGGGAGGCCTCGGGACCCCCCAGGGCGTCGGAACTGCCTGAGCAATGACCCAGCGCCCCGAGGTTGTCTGCTGCCTCCCCCGTTTCTACCTCCGTCCCACGGTTTTCTCATAGCTGAGCGTCCCTTTGCCCAAGTAGTGGAAAAGACGTGAGAAACCGAAATAGACGTGTAAGTCGAGAGGGGGTGGGGAGGGGCGTGGACACTCGCGGGGCAGTGCCCCTGAGACGGTTTCCTCCTCCTGCCCACCTCCGTGTCTTCTCCTTCCCGCACCCTCCCTCCCGTCCTCCCCATTCCTTCTTCCATTCCTCCATCCGCTCTTCTCTTCCTCCTCCCTTCCTGCTTCCTTTCCTCCTTATTATTATCACCTGGAAACAACCTGAGCAAATAGCTAGCGACATTGAGATCCGCACACCTTGTTTCCTCAGGTGTCTGTTTTTCTACTAAGCATTACATGGCCGGAGGGAGTGAATTATTCAAAACAGAATTCTTTCGTGAACTCTTTCGTTCCCCAGGATTTGCCCGAAGCCTCTTGATTTGGCCATTATAGCTTAGAAAATGCCACTCCATCAACTCTCGTCGTCTTTTCCAGGGCTCTTTCCCAAGTCCTCCCTTTCCGGCCAGGCTAGTGCCAGGGAAAGACAGGAGGCTTTGATAATACTCAACCTGTAACAGAGCTTTGTACTCTCCTGAGCTCCATGAGGAAGTGACACTCCAGCCCGCCCCCTTGCAGGTGGGAGACCCTAGAATAGAAAGACTCAGGCGCACGCCTGTTCCAGTGTGGAACAACTGACTGATGCTCCTGTGCTCTGGCGTGTCCACAGTCTCATACAGCATTGCACTTACGCCTTCTGAAACCTGGTATCACCATAAGCGCACAGCTAAGCGCAGCCGGTGTGTCTGGATGCACTAAACATGCTCGAAGATAGAAAGCTTGATTCCTCTTTGCATACAGCCTACTTGTTTTTTCCCCCCAATTTCCACCCCTTTTGCCTATTCTACACATTTACCTCTCTGCAATTTTGAGATCTTAACAGATTAACAATGACAATCATCTGCAGCTGTCCTATCTATGATTCTTTTGCAAGTACATCCTCTTATGTGTATGTTTCTTCCCACAGCTTAAATCAGCAAAGTCGATAGAATTAATTGACCTTGAAGTGTTTCTCATCAAATTAGAAAATCACAATTGTCTCGTTCAAAAGATGCTGTCGGTTGCGCCAGCTTCATGGGTATGCAATCTGTACGCTTGTATAGAGTTCCACTCTTAGAAGAATCCACACTTGGTTGAATGTTCTGTTGTCACCATCTTAAAACTCATTATAGTTTTTGAATAAGTTTCCCTGAATTTTCATTTTGCATGACACTTCAAAGATTATGTAGCCAGCCCTACCTGTAGGTTCTAGACATGACAACATTATACTTGGGCAGGAAACCCAAAAATTTAGACATGAATGAGCTCAGATGAGCTCAATGATTTGTTTAAAAGATGCTCACAATTGCTAATGGAAATCTTTTTAAGTATGTTAAACATAATTAATATTGACTAAGAGTAAAGAGCCTAACCATAGTGACCCCAAGCAGGAATGTGTATAATGCCATGCATCAATGAATGGAGAATGACATCTGAATACAAGGATTGTCCTCGAAATGTCAATTTCATTTGTGAATTACTAAAACCATTTCAGAAGCTGTAGGGGATCCTTTCCTGGTGTTTATTTTGAGTTTTAAAGTTAAGCAAATTCCTGGTCTCGGTGAAGGCAAGGATATTACACACACCTACATTTTCTTATGGTAACGTTGATTTGTAATTTTGCATGTCATATCATGAAATTTATATTCTAGAAAAAATCATAATGACAAGCATGCTGAGCTTTTATAAACAGCTTTTGAATGTTCAAAGGGATCACTGTACTTTTTTTAAAAAAAGCAACATGCGTGTCACTTATATAGGTTCCATAGCATATTCATTTCCATGAATAAATGTATTTTATAATAAACCACAAAAGAGAACAAGTAGTCAGTTGAACAGAAAGCTTGGGCTTAAACATATAGGGCCACCTTACTATATTTATGTTAAAATAATACTTGCAGTTACATTGCTTTCTTCCTTTAGAATTATCACAGACATGCTCTGTGATTGTGCAGGCCTTTCTCATATTATTTATTTTAACTGCAGTTTAAAGAAACTTTTAAAACAAAAACATTCTAATAAGGTCAGAATAACAGTCAAAATCCAGTTTTTTACTCTGCCCACATACGTTCAATTTATTACACAGCTCACCTTGCAAGTTGACACATGGAACTTCTCTAACTTTTGACATAACTGGTTAGGCGACACCCTAAGTTCAGGAAAGCCAACCACACAGGAGGAGAACCCTAAGAGTATATTGAAGGAACGATGGATAAATAAATAGATGGGTAGGAATTTCCAGGTACAGCTAGCAAGAAAATGCTTAGTATGTCTTTGTCTAAGTCTCCTTAAACCCCATTATCTGAATTTATCTAGAGAAGAAAGGAACCTTACGCTGACTTTGGTTTGACTTAAATAGACAAGACATACAACTAACAAAGAGAGTAGAAAAGTGCCTTAATTGCCTTTTGTTTATATCTGTGTGAATAAGGACAGACCAGAACGTGTGGCTGTCTTGATCAGGTTATAGAACTGTCACACGAAATAAGGCCCTCATTCACGGTTTCCTGATATTAGTCATTCTCTTCCTCATGTTTTGGTTATCGGGTCCTTTTTTCTTTTTCTTTTTTTCCCTTTTCTCAGCAAAGAATGTCAAACACCTTGGATGTTTCCTGAAGGTAGATTTCAGAACCCCAGATTCAGAGATTCTGGGTCAGTATGTCTAAGGCGGGGTATTGAAACCTCAACTTTTAAACAACGTCCAGGTGATTCAATACCGAGTCAACCTGGGATTACAATTTGAGAGGTAATTGATTTTAAAAGTACATATCCCACCAAAAATGGAGCAGGAAATTTGATTTAAATAACATCTATGACTTAACTTTGTTTAAAGTTCTTTTTTAGTGGTGTGTGTGTTCATATGGTTTGGACATACCCATCTATTTCTTAACAATCACAGGGACATATATTTTTTCGAATGTATTTAGCCAAGATTCTCTTAGACTCATTGTTTTTTTCAAGCTAGCCACTTGTCTCTGAAAAGGTTTTCCAGCTACATTTGATAAAGATAAGGTATGAAGAAAGTAAGTGTAATCTTTTTCTGATATGCCCTTCTTGAAAAAACACGTTGACAACTCACTCTAAAATTGAAGAGGAATAAATACTCACATTTGACAGCACTCACGAGCCGTAAGCAGAACAGCCTCCCAAGTCTTTGGTTATCAGGGGACAAGGAGGTGAGAGGAGGGAAGTCACAGGTGGGATCTACACTCGGTTCCGATTGCCTCCTTTTGATGATACAATAGCTCACATCTTCTCTCAGACACTGCAATTCACTTCAGGAAACTACAAAGTGGAAAAGCCAGGAAACGGGCCCTTGCAAGAGGGCTGGCCCACACCCGTGCTTCCACACTGGCAGGCTGAGTCCTTGGAATTGCTAGCTGACTCTGAGTCTCTTCTTTTCCTGCTTTCCTCCTCCTCCAGACTTAATTCCTTCTGCTCAGCTTTCGATTGCGGGACCCAGGCAACATTAACAGTGCTCCTATGAGGGAAAAAGACATAGTGAAACGGGGAGCCCAGGATGCAGTTCACAGCTGAATGGGTACAGGTCAGACCTGTATTATACCTTTTGCAACGTGGTTCCAGGCAAGAACGAGTGTACCACTGTGGCAATGGACCCATCTGGTCCCTCACAGCCAATTCAATGACTGTACAGATGACGGTTACTGCTTTTCACAGTGGGTTTCCGAAGACAGACTCTAGTTTTCACAAAAGAACATCCCATGCATTTGCAATCTTCAGCTTTTTTTCATCCTCTCGCAAGGCTAAATACCACATTTGGCGATAATTTTAGCATACCACACATTTTCCCCCTTCAAGGAGATTATGCAAATTTCGTCGCAGTCTATACAATTTAAAGATATCACTTTTATTAATCACCTGATGTTTACTAAGATTGTACAGTATCAGAAATATGTTTCGTATTACCCTTGAGCACTAAAGATACATTAATGACATTTTTAACTTTCCTTGCAAAAAAGAGTTGTCAAATACTATGATTTCGAACTCCTCCTACTTTTAAAGAATGTATCTCCATTGCCCTCTGCCTCCCCTCCTCCAATGCCCCCATCCGTCAGTGTTCAATTTGCTGCTTGTTCTGCAGATACGCTGAGAGCCTGTTCCAGAGTAAGCCATCACTGAAGTTTTATTTCTGGCTGCAGTCATTACTCAAATTAAAATAACTTCTAAGAAACCAAATGTGTCAGAGTGGGCATTTTTGTGTGCTAAGGGCCAATGGTCTGGCCATGGTGACGTTCCACTGGGGGTGCTTTTCCCTGCCCGGAACCCCACCCTGGGCATCTGTCTGTCTGTTTAGCACACGTGACGGCCTCTGTTACTGCCGTGTCTAACTCAGCAGAACAGCTGCTGGACCAGGCAAGGGCTCTGGGT